GCTCCAGATCCATTTCGCCCTTGGAGCCCAGCTTCAGATCATAGCGTTGCAGCAGCTCTGGCTCCTCTAGCTTCACAGTGCGATCCAGTAGAACATTGCCGAAGCAAACGACCTTGCGGGGCCTGCATAGAAGTTTAAATAAATAAATAAATCAATTTCAATTGGGAAAATCCCGCACACGCATACTCACGTATCATAACAAATTTGTGCGGCATCTGACGGCTCATCGGCTCCAAAGATTTTCTCATAGACAGATTGCAGGTACTCCATTGTATTTAAAATCGATTCAACAAACGAAATTTCCCCTCTCCAATGTCTGAAGGCCGCGCTCTATTTCAAAAATTTCGCTGCTCTGGCGGTTCCGTCACTTCCGTCAGCCAGCGACGAACTGAATGCTCGAGCCGGTTTCGCTGTGAGTATTTATATGTATATACCATATATATATTTGTATATGTACTTCCATTCCCATGCTGAATTACTTTGAAGCTCACACAAAGAAAAGGTCTGAAACTTCGTTTATTGTTTCGCTTCTGTTCTTGTTGGTATTGTTGTTGTTGTTGTTGGTGGTCATATTTTTAGATTTTTGGCTGCTTTTTCTTCGACTTCTTTTCGTTCTTCGTGCGGTCTTTTGATTACATCACAGAGCTTTTCACCGTACCAGACAATGTGGGATTTGTTCTAATGAGTCACCCTGTGCCGCCTTTTAAAGTTCAAATTGAAAAACATCAGGTATGCGTTAAATTGCTCTATTATAACAATAATTGTCGGTATTAGAATAATACAATTCCGCAACGTGCAAAAAAGAGACTCTACTTCGGGTCTTATTCAACACTGATTTCGCATAAGGTCAGCTGTTAGCTGGCATTTGTTTATGTGTAAGAAGCAGCAGAGCTTTGTTCGTTTGCCGGCAAAACAAATGCCTAAGCAAAAGCTTTTGGCTTAACCTTGAGCTTTCGTGAGCGAATCGTGCTGCCAACTTGCTTGAAGTAGAAAAAATCCGTTAGAAATGCTTGCTGGTTGCTTAATGAAATTCAAAAGGGAAATATTAGCTTAAAGCACTTGAACCACAGGGAAATTTTTAAAGAAGACGTCGTTTGTAAATTTGTTTGTGCTTATTGAAAAGTTAGAATGAAATATTCGATGAATATTGAAAATACTCATATTTACAAAAAAATAAAAAAATTAATCTTCTACAATAAAACTCCAAATATATTATTATTTTCATAAATGGAAATTTAGATACTATAATGAAAACTACAATATCTTTGGGATTTACCACTCAGAGTTATTTATACGATAACAAATCCCCAATCCCCTGCAAGTATGCGCTTCAATCATTTGGGGGAACTTTTTGCATATGCCTACACAAACCGTTTTCTTTTTTGTGTGCAGCGAAAAAGTACGGAAACTGTGCGTAGATAAAAGAGAGTCTCTGGCATCTCTGCATCTCAAGACATTGGGTCTTTTCATAAGGCATTCAACCTCATTCTGCACTGGGGTTTACCCAATACTAAGAAATTCCCCTTAAACACATATCTTGCATATACATAATTGCACCTTGTAAACTTGACCAGGTTTTAAGCTCTCTCAGTGGCGCTCTTAACTGGTCTTAAAGCAGCGCACGTGAGTGGAAACGCGACTCAGTCTAAGCGAACGCAAAGCGCGTCAGGTATTGCAATCGACCTTTGGACTTGCCTTCCATATCGGTATGGATCCATAAAAATGCGTATGTACAGTGAGCGATGGTGTATAGGTGTGTATACGTGTGTGTGAGTGTGTATTTTAAAGGGAATTCGAGTAAACCTGTTTTCTGCCTTAGCCATGCACCGGCCAGTCCATCGCTGAGTGACAAGATTTGGTATTTTGAGTCATGTCGAACATATTTTTAGTTGAGCGGCATGACTCAGCGCGAATGTGAGAATTCCATCATTAGCCATGCGACGGCCACTTGTTTCGGTGTGGCATGTAGCAGTCAATAAGCCAAGCCGAACAGGTAGAAGCTATGCGAAACCCCGACCTATTTTCCATTAAGCATCATGAGTTATTCGCATGTAACTGAAACTCAACTACAGTGATATCCGATATGTGTTTTTCTTTACCTTCTTTCATATGTTTATTTCGCATCTATCAGGAAATTGAACATGAATGTTGTCTATGGACTAATCGGATTAATTAATGTACTATTTTCCCTAAATTGTTTCTATTGCAAAGCAAATTTCGAGATTAAAATATGCAGTATATAAAACAAATTACTTATATATCTAGAATGTTCAGCAGGAAGAAGTCTTAACTTAACTAAAATCTTAAAATTTCAAAATATCAGTAAATATACCACACAAAAATTGCCTGTGTACTACTACGACTTTTTAATAAAATATAATATATACTTTTTATTAAGTAATTTTCAAAAAAAAAAAAAAAAAAATATATGGGTCATGCTTGATAAAAAAAAATAAATAAATAATAATAAAGTTAAGCAATATAATATAAAATGTTTAAAAACAATATGAATAATATAAAAAGCATCAAGAAACTTCTCATAAATAAATAAAATTTTCTTGACATTTTTTGAAAGCCTTTATGATATACATAAATAATATAATTTATTTTGAAATACAAACAAAATGTGCTTAAAATAAAAATTCACCCGTTCACAATAACAAAGCTTTGGGCTCCAAATATATAAAATTTTTTTTTTTTTTTTTTTAATTTCTTTATGTTTTATTTTGGGGGCAAGTCTGTCACGAAAATACAGTTGCTTAATTTGACTGTACTTTAAAGTAGAGTTCACTGTAATTGTTGTTGTAGTGCACTTTACCGTTCGTCAACAACACTGAGGCGTGGCTGAAGTTCATTGGCCATACAAAATTGGCGCGCAAATTCTGTGGCCTGATCCAAGATATATAAGTATAAATATAGTATTCCATTTGCTGTTCTCTTTTCCTTGTTATTGTTATTGTTTCTTACGCCTCAATTGTATTTTTGAGCTGAGCTAGGCGATAATTTGCAAGCCGTGTTTTTCGTTGTTTATGCGCAGCAAGTTAACAATATTTATATTTAGACTTCAGATAGGTCAGTGTTTTCGAGCAGATCTTTACGTATGGAAGATATACCGGGTGATTAACCGCTTGCCCCAAAAATGCCAACTAAACCCTTTTCTCTATGCACTTTTTCATATTTGTTTACGGGCAGTTCATTGAGTTCAACACATATTGCACATCAAATTATAAATTTTGTTTTTCCAAGAAGTTCATTAAACTTGATTGGCTTGGCTGTTTAATGTGGGAACTTTATTTCGCCTTGGTTTTTTGGTAAGGAAGGCAGCTAGAGTTATAGCTGGCCTAAGTGAAACAAAATAAATTCCTTTGTGACTTCCAAGAAATACGTAAATCACTTCTAAATTGTCGTACATTCAACCTAAATGTGTATAAATTTACTACATCAATTGAATTTCACATGATTTTTTGCATATTTCATATTGTATTTCATTTATTTGTATATATGTACGTGCCTTTGGTCAGGTCAGGCTAATTACAAAAATATTATTCTGAAAAAACAACGCTCAGCATAAATACAAAAAATGCTCGCACCACAAAATCCAATGCAAAATAACAAAATAATTCATAAAAAAAAGTGCAAAAGAAGCCAAGAAAAAAAAAACATGTGAATACCAACGCCATAACGGTAAATGAACTGCCGCTTGACAGACTTTCAATTGATGCCAATTGCCAGATGAGACAGCTGTGCTCAATACATAGTAGTTCCTGAAACTGAATTATACGCGTCTATATAAATTTAACAAATGCATCATCACAAACAATATATATTTGAGTGTCTTTTTAGTGTTTGTTTTTTTTTTTTTTTTTTTTTGGTTTTGTTGGCTGGTTTTCCATGTGCACGTATTTACCCCCTGGACTGGTATTCATTCACTAAAGTTTCATGCGAAAAAAAAAACAAACACAGCAACAACAACAACAATAACAATGCCAAACACAATTTTATGTGTTTGTCGCGCGCTCATTAATTAAACAATGAGACAGCAAAACACTTTCGCACGGACATCAAGTATACGCAACGTGCGCCGCGGACCCAATTTGACGTCAGCTTTGTATGCATATGTAAATGTGTATACATGCACGTATGTATGTTTGTAATCGACTTAAGCATAAACATTATTATGCTGCCTTTGAGTCATTTGGCACGACCTGTTGACCACTTTGGCGCATAGCCAAATGCATGACCAGCCATCAGCTTGAGTTCGCGTGAAAAGCGAATGCTGAAAATTGATGATTACCGTTAAATGGGCTATAAATTGACACAAACTGAGCTGAATTTTCCCCCAAAAAATGTGTGACAATATGAATTTTTAGGGAAATTTAAAATCATTAACGAATTCAACGAAAAAAGATTGCTCGATATCAAGGCAATTCATTGAGAGTAAAAGTTCGAACGAGCATTCAACTGATATGCACACACACACGTACACAAACACACACATATAGATATGCACTCAAGCTGTGCTCAGAGCGCGCACCCAAAGAGCGGCATTGAGACGAGATGAGTTTGAGCTAAAAGGGCAAGGTAAGCGGCTGCAGTGCGTAATAAAAGCCACAGAAGAGGCACGAAATAAACTTTGCTAATTGCCAAAATTAACGGAAATCTTTGGCGGCATCCATGCAAAAGCCAGCAACAAAAAGGCATAAAAAAAACTTGCTGAAGCTTCAAATTTAGAGCGCGAACGGAGGTGTCAAGCGAAAAATTACTTGGAATAAAGCACATACACACGCACACGCACATATACACATACACTTTCAGAGAGAGCGAACGAGAGTGAGAGCAAGTACGCCGGCTGTCTGCTGCGTGAAAAAATTCGAAAAAAGCTCTACTCAGCCATTGGGCCACAGAGAGAGAGAGAGAGCAAGCGTCAGCACATGTTCAATCGTGTCTCTGCTCTTATGAAATTCGTACGCGGCGAGAGCGTCGCTATAAAAGCGAGCCGTCGCTATCGTTTGGCATTCATTGTGAAATTGAAAATCAAAATTGAAACAGGCAGCAAGCGAAACGGTTGAACGGATTTCAAAGCGCACAACGTCAACGTGAAAAGAATTTCATAAGCAAAAGTTAATATAGCGCAAATTGTCAAGCCATAAAAGCACAAACAAAAAACAATTCAAAGCTAATCAAAAATTGACTAACGCTAAATAACATTAGCAACCACAAGAAAAACAAAGCAGTGCCAAGCCGAGACAAAGTGTGCGTTACGCAAACACAAAAAGTGCAAAGAGAAGCTACAAAAATAGCTGAAGCTCAAGCTCAAGTGACAAAATCAGAAGAGATTAACAACAATTCCAATATGGTCGTTGAGGAATCAGCCAACATGCATCACTATCACAGCCACAACAACAACAGCCTGGAGCTAACCGAGTGTGCCATGCCCATCGGACGTACCGTTAAAACGGCTCTGCTGCGTGCCCAATCGGAGGCTCGTGTGATTGTCGGCCTCTCGGCTGCGATCAATACCCTATCCAAATCACCAGAGGGTTCATTGTTTTGCCTGATGGCCGTGCCTAAAGATGGCGATTCGGCCACACACATGCACGAGGTGCTGCTGGAGGCGTTCTGCTATGAGAATGATATCTATGTCATCAAGGTGGACGACGCCACCAAGCTGAGCCGGATTCTGGGCCAGGAAAGCATCGAGTCATGCTGCCTGATTCAAAAGACCTGGGCAGGCGAGCAGAACGAGGAGCAGCTGAACAAGGCCGAAAATCAACTGGTCGACTACTGCGAGGCACATTGGGATGCGCCCCAGCATCCCATTGTCCAGCTGCCCGCGGTGTAGGCGCGTTCGGAGAGATGGCAGAAGCTATGAGTTGAACAGCCCGTCACAGTGGGGCTAAACATGGGTTTAAATCAAACAAGCAACCAGTTAAGACAAGGTTAATGTACCCGAACGTTTGGAGAGTTCTGCGGAAACCGACGTTGGGACATATTCCAATTACATATAATACAACATATATATATGCATATGTATAAGTGTATATAGAGGAGGAAGGGGAGGAGCAGGAGGAGCAGCGAAAGCTAAAGTAGCTGCAAAACGTTGAATTATGCTAGAGAGCGAGCGAGAGAGATAGAGAGAGGCAATTGATGGCGACAACGACCTTCGTTGGAGCAGACGAGAATGCAGCAGAAAAAGCAACAAGCAGCAGCAACAACAAAACAGCTGCTGCGGAAGTGCATGCACTCTCTCAAGCTCCCACTCTCTTGGATTTGGCACCAATACAATCATACACCAATACAGCAATACACCAACACAACGGCACACGTTTAAGCGCGTGACAAGCTGCTGGTTTTTTTTTTTTTAACTGAGAGAGATTATTGATAATGGCGAATTTTTCGTTCGCATTGAACAGATTTACGCATAAATTGTAATACACTCTATTAAAAAAATATGTAAAAAAAATATTGTAATTTGTATGTTAAAGTTAAAGTTTTGTTATGTTAGCTTTTCATATAATGGCGTAGAAATTGTACAAAAGAAAAAAGCATTGAAAAAAAACCAACAAAAAAAATGTTATTTAATTTTAAGTCACAAAATTAAAGAAAAGAATTTTTTGAAAAGAAAATAAAAAACTTGAAAAAGAAAACCTTACAAATCTTCTTATTTATACAAATTTTCAGCTCTTTATTTCACAGCCAATTTGGAATTCGAATGACAAATTCTTGACGTCAGAATCATAGAAACACCTTAAGTCCGAAAATCACAGCAGAATATCAATCAATATCTAAAGCGCTTTATCAGCGGTATTCCCCCAATGAATCTCATTTATAGGCACGCTCTTATCAAGCCTATGCATGTGCTACATTTACATACATGCATACAGACAGATATATATCTATGCATATGTGTGTATGTGTATATATACCACTTATATGGTCTGAATCAATGCTGTAAAGTGGCCAATTAAAACGTTCACCTTATATGGACTCTACGTGCACGCTTCAGCCAGAGACATGTTAATATAATCAATGCCAACGATCCAGACAGCGCGACTTCGTGCCATTATACATGGAAAAATTTGTTTGCAGAGCCCGTCAGAAACAAAAAACTAAAACAACAATTTGCAACATATCATCTTAGGAGTTGCTAAGAGCCACGTATAGCTTGTATAGGTCAGTTAGCTCTAAACTAAAACTCGAGACAATTTGTAAATGGAAAAAAAAAAATAAAAATAAAAAAACAACAATGAAATTGGTATAATTGGCTATAAATTTGCTTGAGACAGATGTGTATCTACATATGTACATATGTATATAAGTATAGGCATAATAATAAAATTATGATCTTAAATTATTAACAATTGAAATCATTTATGCTAGTTTATATATTTTTACACTGCATGAAAATTTTAAATATATAAGGTTTTGTTTGTCAACTTATATTATTTTGATAAATAAGCAAAAAATAAAAAATAAAAAAAAAATAATTACAAATAATATTTATTCACATATTTTAGTATTATTTATGCTTAGCCATGTTTATTTATTGAATTTTCATTGTTTTATAATTGATAAGAATTTGTTCCTACTTTATATTTTTTATTAAATTTATATAATTTTCACTGTAATCTAAATAAAATTTCTCTTAGGATTATATAATATTTATACATTCATTTTAAGTTTTTTACTTTTTCATAATTTATATACATATTACATAATATTCTTGAGGACCTAATCAAACTATATGTTAATTATAAATGAAAAATTACGCAACTTAATTTATGAGAAAAAGTTCGAAGAATTATTGAAATTAATGTAGATTTGCTACCGTTAAAAGAGATCTATTTACCCTAAGTGTAACACTTTATAGCGCTACTTAAGTCAATTATATAAAATGCTATTTCACATGAGCCCATTAATTAGTAACTTACATGCTTGAAGCAAAAACATTGCTAATTTGCCCAGATTGACGCTTACACCTGATCAGGTGCAGTTCGTTGATCAGTTATACAATGCGCTACATTGGTAGTTTGTATTGCCCGTTAATCAGCTGCTCAGTTAGTTCAGTTTGTTCAGTCAATATTAGACATGCACGAACAGGTAGATCATCAGCGTACTTTACACCTGCTGCGTTAATTCCAAAGAACACAGCTGAGGCAAACTCTAAGTAAGCATTTTTGCCAAGTCATGAGTAACATTCATTGAACAGCTCGAGATATTGTGCGAGTGGGGAAATCCTAGGCCAAATACCATTTAGGAGGGCATGGTGAATGCAACGTTTGCTCAGGTAGTTCACAATTCACATGAGACGTGAATGAGTAGAAAAAAAAAAATATTTAAAAAACTTAAACAAACGAGTGCTGGGAACACGAGCCAAGGCGAACAATCAAACGGAAAAGATGATGAGCGACAATGGTGACATCGTTGAAGGCAATGAATCATAAAAATATATATCGATTAATACCGATTAGTATCGATGCTTACAGCTTGACCCCAACCAGTGAAAAATTAGCATAATTTCAAGTCAAAATAATCCGTTAAGCTTAATAGCTACCCGACCGAAGTCTAATGAGAAACAATGGAGATGTCGTCGAAGGTAATGATTCATATCGATTCATAATGCTTCATGCCAAGCTCAAACTAACAATAAATTAGCATATTCTCAAATGTATCCGTCAAATGTATCCGTTAGCTAGCTGAAAGCACTCCGTTTCCAGTTTTAGCGACAACTTTTCAACTTCCCAGCTCGCTAATTAGACAGAGGGGTAGTTGTTTGCCCACTGACTACCCTAGAAGCAAACCTGAACTATACAACTCAATATAGCTCAAACTTAAACTCACTAAATAAACTGGATTTCAGTTCAGCTAACATTTTTTTTATTTTTTGTTTTTTCATATTTATATTTTGTTATTGTTTATTTTGATTCGGATTTCCATTTACGCGCGCAAACATGTTTTTAGTTGTAATTGAATAATATTATTCAAATACACGAGATTCGCTTGAACTGAATTATTCTCGTTGCCTGTATTCCACATAAAAACATATACTATATAAGACTTTATAATACTCTAATAAAAAGACAGCAAAGCTTATCAATATTCACTTAAACATGGATTATATTTATTATATGGCAAGTGAGTTATCGCTGGGAATTTCTATGGAAACTCTCCCATTTTTGCAGTTAGATAAGAACATTTGTTTTGCTTATTAGGCCAACTTTGCAGTAAATGGGATTCACCGAGTACCCAAAAAAAAGTTTAAAAAAAAAACACAATCAATTGGCTTCTCATTCAGTTTAACAAGAAATATAACCAAAAAGCGGATATTTATTTATTTTTTTAAGAAAATGGAACATGTACATAAATAAATAACCTATTTATACCTATTTTTTTCGTTTTATCTGACGTCTACCGGGTATTAATTGATCTGTTTGTGTCAATGCCCACAGATAACTTCCAAAAATTTCCAAAATTTAGTATATCATATCAATTTATCATATATATAGCAGCTGGCTGGCACGCATATTTTTTTGTGATTTGTTTACGATTATATATTTAGTTAATTGTATTTGTTTGAACCGCTCTGAACCTTTCCACTGCGCCGCATCAATTGATTACACAGACACAAAGCTGCGCACAAATACACACACGAGACGCTGGACACGAGACACGCTGGGCTCGAGCGGGAGAAATATAGTTATATGATGAATGGAATACTGCTTATAACCGGTTCAGTTTTTTTTTTTCACACTAACACACAGACATATATTACATAATATATTGCCTAGAGCAGAAAAATAAGCAGCGGAGATTCCCATAAACAAATATAATATAGATAATATAAATAAAACCTGCAATCGCTTTTACTATGAAAGTGCATTCACTTTTTATAAGGTATTTTTCGGAACTTTATAAATTTTTTATAAGGGTGCTATATATATGATATATACGCGTATTTCTTTAATGAATACTTCAATTGCTTGGAAATCGATATTGTTTATTTATGGAAAATTCGTGGAAGCAATTGGTAAACCTTTAACATATATGTATAAATACATATGTATATTAAAACAACAAACTCACTCAAGCAGCTCATTTAAATGCATTTAATTAACAACTGATAAGCTTTGTAAATTGAAATAACAAATATTACACATTTACTCAAGTTACACAGACAACCGATATCAGACCATATTGGGGCATTGTAAAACTCAAATAATGTAAAACCCTTAGCCAATAATATATATCGCCAAAATATACAATTCTTTCCAAAAACAAATATTTCTAAAAATTTCCCCTGTAAATTTTCAAATATTTACGAAATTAAATCAATGCGAGGCGCGTGCTGAGCAATCATTGTAAATTGCAGACATTGTAAATGCATACATACATATATGTATATGTATGTGCATATATTCATATTATATATGAAGAAATTTCTCTCGAAAATCAATGAAATAAAAGCCATTTCAAATTCACTCAATCAATTAAGCACTTGTATATGCATTTGTCTAAAGATCACAAAGTGAAAAGTAGTTCAAACAGACGACAAAAAGGCCTTATCAGGCACACACAAGCCCTGGTAAGTATGACTTTGCAGTAAGAGAGATTGTGGCCACACTCTAAAAAGAGTCCAAGGTCGGGCATGGAATTTCCCACACACACAAAGTGTTTGACCATAATTATTAGACTTCTGGCTTGTTTGCTCTATATAAATGGAATTCCGTATTCCGAATTCTGTGGAAATTTATTATGTAAACAATTGAAACGGATCTCTGACCTGGAAACAAAAGTCTATTTGTATTAGATATCTTGCACATTCCCAACAATCCATTGCGGAAAAATTTCAACCATTAACTGCGCATCGAAATAATTGTGAGTAGAGCAGGAGCGCAGGAGCCATAAAAACAGGGACAGAGCTAGAAAGATAATAGCAGCAACTGCCAATGATAAAGCCAAATATGAATATTTTAGAGACTTTTTGTGTGTGCTCTGTTTGATTTTCCGCTGAAGCGCAATTGCACCTGTGCACTAGATTAAATAGTTTGAATTCAGCAACCATGTAAGTAAACCCAATCGATAAAAAAACGAGGCGTCCCATACAAAGCCGAATTAACACCACGTTTACGTTTGTGAAATGCGTGTATTCGCATACATAAATATAATAATCACACTTTGTTGTCTGCTGTCTGGATCGTGCTATATTATTTAATCTTTGATACCCTGTACTTTATTTGAAATTGCTGAGAGTAGACTATTAAATATTATTAGACTATATCTCTTCAGATATAATTTAACAATTCTTAAAAAGAAAAAAATTTAGTTTTTGTATCCTATCATATTATAACTGTGTGAACTCAGCTGTTATGGCAACTAATAGAGGTAAATTTGGTACGCGGCTTATTAAACCTCTGTTATGTGAAATTCTAATGAAATTAGATTTTTTTGTTTTACATTATTTTCATTTTACCCAATTCTTAAATCTTATGAAATATTTTGTTTATTATTAAACATAAATGTTCTTTATTCCACATATTACAACTACTATGCCGTCTACAGGGTATTCGTCTGTTCAGCACAGTCAAGCCACTTTAACTCTCTCAACTAGTTAATTGGGCTGCCATTGATTTCTCTTCTGGGGGTCGCTTCGAGCGCTTTTTTTGCAGAGACGGCATCAGTTAACATAAATGCGCTGAATTTCACAAGAATTGCGACGGGGCGTTCACAGTTGGTTTTCGATAGCATCGTTATCTCCACTCAACTCAACGCAACACAACTTGTTTCGACTTGCTCGTACAGCGCGTGCCAGGCAGCAAAGAAACTTTGAATTGTTTACTGATAAGAATTGTACAAAAAGCTGCAAGAGAGACAGAGAGAATAAGTGAGAGTGAGATAGACGGAAAGCGAGAGCGATATTGCGAGATAGAGAGCGCCAAGGGCTGTTCAACTCAGTGTTCTGGGTGGGGGCTTCCACCTGCTGTGCGACATGCCCGAGCACGTTTCGAGCGAACAATGTGCAACTGTAAAAGTTCCGTTTGACTGTTTTGTTTTTTTTTTATTCGTTTTTTATTGAACGAACGAAACGTTATAAAATTCTTGAAAAACAATTGCAGGAATTGTGCACATGTTGCCGTTGTCTGTTTGCTTACGCAAGTCGTTGCGCATACGCAGCGTGTGGCCGTGTTTACCGTTAGCACAGACTGAGCCACCCAAAGCCACCCATCCACAAAAGAAACTTCCAGTCGACCAGCCAGGCAGAAGGCAGAGCTTGCGTCAATGTCATAAAACTTTCTCACGTAAGTCAAATTTAGCTGTTGCTTATCCCCCAAACAAGCAGAACAGATTGCGGCTCATCCCTGAACATCGACTGAATATTACGAGATGTATTAATACGACTTAATGGCCGCATTTAATTCCAAACTTTAGCGTTTATGTCACATTAAGCCCTTGTTTAATGAAGCTATAGCGATATTCCTTAATGAAGTGCATCGGGAAACTGTCAACATGCTCGGCTTATACGCTTACTTTTACACCTAACTATATGTGCCGATTGTGTATGTCATAATATAAAGCATTTATGGGGCTGCAGTAAATATACGTTTGCCAAAAATATACTAAGTAAACAAAGGAATTCACCTACATTTTCCAAGAATCGCACAGGGGAAGTACTATACACCAAAATTTTATTATTCAGTCAATTTGTAGTATATAAATATTCAGAATTTCAAATCTAAACAATATTCCCCTACGCTAGATCATATATATCCCGTCACATGGGAACCCGTGACGAAAACATATTCATGACGTCAAGGGGTATATCACAAATTTCGAAGCTTTACGTCTGCAAATAAGCATAACGATATGTAGAGCTCTACAAATAGAAGAAGAAGGAAGCCTTAAAAAAAAAACACATATGTACATATATATTTTTTATCTGAAATGTATATTTCTTTTGGTGCTGTACAATTGTTTTGTTTTGATTCGCGATAGTTCTACGCCTACAAATATATGTTGCATATAATAAATATATTTCATTTTTATGGTCTCTTTGCCAAGAACTTTTTAATATACCTATTCAAAGTAAATCCAGCTATTTTTGTGCTAATTCTAGATCAATTTAGCTGTCTAGCATGAATTAGCAAAGCTCGCAGAGCTCATCAAAATGTATTTAACATATTTTTTGTAAAATTTAACAGGTTTCAAGTGTTGCCATAATTAAACATGCACTCATTATTTTTAAGTATTTTCTTTACATTCAGTTTTGAATGCTCGAAAACGTTCCCGAATTTAATAAAACATCTCGCTACTTTATATAATTTTCTCTATATACAGGTATTTATGTATGTATGTATGCCTAAATGCCATAGCAACAGTTAATGTTTATATATCCGCTGTTGCCAATCTATGTATGTGTTTGCCAAATGAAGCAAACTTTTAAGCATGTGTGTCAAGCATACGCACTGTTGCCGCTGATAGCTACACAGCGCCCCTTGGCACCCCTCGCAGCTAACTCAAGCGAAAGGCGTTAAACTTATCGTCTTTCAAATTATCAATGCCTGCTGCCTGTAGAGTTGCCAATTCATGTGATTCATTTAAATCGTATTCATTAATATAGTACATCTAAGAGTGACAAGCGACTTTGAACCTGGTTAAAGAGCAACTTCTAATCATCTTATCTTTCGCCCTCGCACTCTTCATATTTCGCTATTTCTTTAAAGATTGCAATACAAAATATTCCGAAATAAATGCAAATTATGCTTTTGAATGTGAGCAGCAACTGTACCCGATACAGGAACGACTGTCATTAGTTTGGCTTATCGCAAACGTGATAAACCACATGTGACTAACGAGCAGATCACGTTTTTCGCTGATGTATTTGGCACAGGAGCATATAAAATGTTTCTATTTCTGTGGCGTGGCAACAATTATATTTATTATATTTACCATCAAATAGGCCATATTAATACAGTTATATTACCCAATCAATAATATATGTATATAAACGCCGATAAATAATATAGCCAAAACAGCCAATGACCGCTATAAATCAAATTACTTCCTGAACTACATATTGTCGGGGGTCGATCAGATCGTGCTGGCTGAAAGGGAGCGTGGGAGTATATAAAAGAACTCCTTGATGTCTTTACATAGAAGAATCTGTATATATAGCGTTATAGAATGCATAAATTGTATTGCTAATATCAGCATTGCTAATAAGTGCAAAGACTTCAATTATAATACAATTATTATTGCTAATAATCAGCATGAGAACTATCATTAAAAAAAAAAAAAATAGATAAATAAAATAAGAAATGATTATAATATCATTAGAATAATGATAGTAAAATTTAAAAAAACATATGTAAAAAAATATAAAAAAAATACTAATACTCATACTAATACTAATACGAATAATAACATTAGGAAAACCAACAGTAGTAAGCAAACAAATGTTTTTAAGCACCTCGTTCAATTAGACCTCAATAACAACACACTTGACCATCAAGATGAGTAATATGGGCAACTGGAAAACCATGCCAAGAATAGTTTCAGCTGTCGCCATCGATGGCGCTATTTTTACAAACAATTCAGCTTTAATTAAGATTAAGTATTTTACAACCGACTGCAATTAAATGTCATAACAAAATACTACATTCGGCGGAATGCGCCAGACAACGCACGGCTATTGCCCCTCGTCTCAGCCAATGGGCATTTATCTAATCAGCTTATCAGTCATACTGGGCGAGAGCGAGTGTCTCACGCCTCGAATTGGGTGGGCAAGGCATGCTCAAGGCGCCACAAAGACCCACATTCTCTCAACTGACGGCCGCTTATCTCCGGGGGGTTAGCAACCCGAGCTCCTCTCTTTGCATGACAGCAATCGCATACTTCATGTGACACGAGTAAATGGTGGGCAAAATGGTATTTGCCCATTTTGTAAGGAATGTACAAAAATAAACTGGGTAGGTACAAAAATAGCTTTGGTGCATAGCTAAAATTAGCTCAAGGTAAAAAAGCAAATGTTGACAAAATCTGCATAAATAGCAAAAACCATAAGCAACAGCGCAATAATAATAACAAATCGCGGAAAATTTTATATCAGCAATAAAAAGACTAGACATATATGTGTGTGTATATGTATATGTGTATACCTTAGAGACCTTATCAGACGACGCAGTTCCGAGGAAAAACAAAAAGTCAAGTGCGCCAAGTTAAAGCCCAACCGAATCAGGAGGGGAACTACCTGAACAGTAGCGCCATATATGGAAAGTATTTAATAGGCTGGCGAAATTATTTTTAAGTATTTGCACGACAAACAAGAGTTTTATTACTGAGTAAGTTATGTGAATTATTGAGGAATCGAACCAAAAACTATAATCAGTGCTGCATGAAGTTCTAGATTAAGATAATAGTTGACAGTCTCTATAATTATTTTGCCTAGCATTATAAAACAATTATTTCGATTTGTTTTTCCATTTTTTGCATAACCCAGTTTTCTTTTTCTTTTTAATACCAATCATTTACATATTTATAAACAAAATAAAAAATGTATAAGACGTTTAATTGACATATATATATATATAGTATATACACTAGCGAATTGAGCCATTAAAATAATAATTATTGCAAAAAAAAAAATATTTTACAAAAATTATTTTTACATGTTCAATTAACTTTGATGGTATTTAAATCGATTATATTTCTATGGATTTCTCAGTCAAATCAGTACCGCTGGAACGATGACACCAAAGTGGAAAGTTTCAATAATACTTTTGTATTCTCTTCTAATCGAAAATGTTTACGTAATTAAAATTGAATCCAGCTGCTTTGCCATCATCTTTAATCTCTATTTTTCAGACAAAGGCCAGTGTGAAGTTTACAAATGTTAAATGTGGATCTCTTGAACCAAGCTTGACCACCATCGATCAGTGTCGCCTTCATGCGATTAGCCGCAACAAAACCGTCCTAAACATTGCGATTAATTTGCTGAAGGCAGCCAAACAACTAGAGGTCCATTGGCAAACGAAAGTATGGGGAAATGGCTACAAGCCCTGGTTAGGGGAATATGATATCGACTTCTGTGGCTACTTACGCAAACCTAATCATCCAGTGTTCAAAATATTGTATGACGCCATCAAGCCCTTCACAAACATAAACCATTCGTGTCCCCTTTCGGTGAGTAAGAGACGAACGGTTTAGCTCACTGATCATATGATCTATCTATGCTATCTATCTATCTAATCCAGGGCATGCTTTATATTAAGGACATGTACTGGGACATCTCCAACTATAAATTGCCTATGCCATCTGGAGACTATTTAGTGCTTCTCACTTGGAAACAGAACAAAATTCCCTGCATGTACACGAATATATATTTCAATTTTAAGCAGGATATTATTTTCGATTGACTATGTTCTTGAAAAATTAATATAAATTGAAATATCAAATTTAAATGCAATTACGTATTGTCAAATATGAGTTTCTTAAAACTCAAAATAAAAGTTCCATTACAATGCTATGATTTCTTTTAACTTGAGTATATCATAAAAGTAACTGAACCAAAAAAAATATACTAACATAAAATATTTTAGACTCTGCATAATGGAATAACGCTTCAATGAGCAATGAGAAACGTTCGTTACGTATTCATGCAATTGGGTGAGTTATTATTATTAAAAAATTTGGGCATTGCCATAAATATTGAAAACGGATCAGTTTTACTTTCAAATTTTGGTTTTTGATTTTGTTTGTAATTAATGATAAATGGCATTTTCTCTGATTCAACTGATAGAAAAATAATCACAATAAAATAATGATACTTGAACAAAAGTATAAATATATATATTTGGCTTCCACAATGCTCAATTTGCGAATTTTTCAATCAACGTTGTGCCAATGACACCAATATGAGAATGTTGAGCAGTGGTTTCGTTTTTCTCCCTCCAGAAATTATGGATGTTAATTTTAATTGATGTATGTTACTTTTAGTAAATTAGTTTAATTTAATCTGTAATCTGTAATCAGAAATAGAACTGTGCTTTTATCGAAAAGAAAAAAAGAAAAAGGACTTAACTTGTTCTGAAACTGAAGAACTGCTAACATTGTACCTCGTAAAATCTGACGCAATAATATTCTAGTTTACAAATTCAAATTTGAATAAGAAAAATTTTAAAAGACTAAATATTCTAGTTTCAAATTTTCAGAAAAGGGAAGTTTAAAGTTGCAATTAAATTTATTTTGCTGGCCATTATAAATTTTCTAAAAAACCTATTAATATTTTAGATTATTTTTTTCAAATGTCAGCGCATTTCATATCCAAATCAATGCTGATACGATATATACATAGAGGTCTACACGTAATTACTCCACAACTGAATTGTAACTGCGCATTAGACAAGCCATATATGTATATGTATACATACCTACATACATATGTACATAAATTAGGAATATGGTACGAAGGCCAACTTATCAGGCATAAACCCAATTTAGGGCAGACGCCTGACAATGATTTAGTCGCTGGCCTCTTGCATCAGCCATTTGAGTTTAGCGATTAGCAATTAATTTGTCAGTTGATTAGCTTTTTGTACAACTGCTGCAATATTGCGCGCTCGTCTTTAAACTGAGTTGAATTTGAAATTCGTATTTGAAAGCGTGAATCATGCTTGACGCGTACTTTGCTCTCATGTCTCGTGTCTCGTGTCTCGGTGTCTCATCAGTTGTAGAGGAAATGGGCATTTTCTAATGTCTGATAAGATTTGCTGCTCGCTTTTCACTGTTGTCAGTGGCTGCAGCTTCTTGGCGGATGTGGCCATGGCCATATATGGCCAGAACTGATTCGCCCATCTCAGTGCGATTGCCAATTACACACATTACTCATACGTACATTACTCATACGCCACGTAATCGCCCAGATGCCTATCGCACAGTAAATGATAGTCCAACGGTTATTTTTTACCGTTCCACCGCTACGTTACGCTAGGTCAGTTAATAGCTAGGCTGTCAGCTCGTCTGGTCTATATGCTAATTGCTACGATTTTGTAGGTGTCGATGTCGCTGTTTCTCCCTCTCCCACTCTATCTCTCTCTTTGTCTCCGTTACTGTTGCCGTGTGATTGTCGCATAAGCATACGAAATTTATGCACCTCACGGACTTCAGTTTACCTGCCCCGCACAGTACGGCAAGTGCCGCGCATCTAACGGATCTTTCCCATCTCAATTGCATATGAGATACATCTGCTGGCTGCTCCAGTTACGCCTCAAGTTGGCTCCGCCGTATGCGCATTTTTAATGCGATTCGTGCGCTCCGCCAAACTGGCGACACAATCAATTCCAACAGCAAAAAATTTGCATCAGAACGTTCTATAACTGTTCATTGGGGCAACTTCCTTTGTCTGCGGCCAAATATGATAAGAGGAAACAATTCGGAAAGTTTCGGAGCTAAACTCAAATTGTCGAAGCTTCAATGCACTTGCATGGCATGAAGTGAGAGATATTTAATATGATGAATACAATAGTTAGATAGATAAATAGATGGAAATATAGATAGTTGTAAGAATAGATGAATGGTATAAGAGCTCACTCTATGATGTTTTTTTTTTTTTTTTTTTTTTTTTTGTATAATTCTTAACTCATATATATATTGTATATTTAATTTATTGACATATTTGTATTTAGTATATACACTAGCGAATTGAGCCATTAAAATAATAATTATTGCAAAAAAAAAAAATAATAACTAGTATTATTTCTATAATTTCAATTGACTTTGATATTATTTAAATCGATTGTATTTCTATGGATTACTCAGTCAAATCAGTACCACTGGAACGATGACACCAAAGTGGAAAGTTTCAATAATACTTTTGTATTCTCTTCTAATCGAAAATGTTTACGTAATTAAAATTGAATCCAGCTGCTTTGCAATCGTCTTTGATCTCTATTTTTCAGACAAAGGCCAGTGTGAAGTTTACAAATGTTAAATGTGGATCTCTTGAACCAAGCTTGACCACCATCGATCAGTGCCGCCTTCGTGCGATTAGCCGCAACAAAACCATCCTAAACATTGCGGTTAATTTTCTGAAGGCAGCCAAACAACTAGAGGTCCATTGGCAAACGAAAGTATGGGGAAATGGCTACAAGCCCTGGTTAGGGGAATATGATATCGACTTCTGTGGCTACTTACGCAAACCTAATCATCCAGTGTTCAAAATATTGTATGACGCCATCAAGCCCTTCACAAACATAAACCATTCGTGTCCCCTTTCGGTGAGTAAGAGACGAACGGTATAGCTCCCTGATCATATGATCTATCTATGCATCTAATGCAGGGCATGCAATATGTTAAGGACATGTACTGGGACATTTCGAACTATAAATTGCCTATGCCATCTGGAGACTATTTAGTGCTTCTTACTTGGAAACTGAACAAAATCCCCTGCATGTACACGAATATATATTTCAATTTTAAGCAGGATATTATTTTCGATTAATTATGTTCTTAAAAAATCAATTTAAATTGGAATATCAAATTTAAATGCAAAAACTCAAAATAAAAGTTCCATTGTAATGAATATGATGAATACATGTATAGTTAGATATAAAAATAGATGGACATATAGATAGTTGGTATAAATGGTATAAGAGCTGGAAAGCGAATTAAGTTGCAACTAGATATACTAGATCTCTCTATATTGTTTTTTGTATAATCCTTAGGTCATATATATATTGTATATGTATGTGCATATATTTTTCAAAAGAAACGCTTGATTACTTTCCTCGTAAGAACTTCATATATGATCAAATAATATGTATATGCAAAATACATATATCAAAATATTTAACCTAAAGTTCAATCACTTTTAGCTCTCTAAGTTTGTAATCTCTAATCTCCCTATTTTGTAATCTATTTTTTTACTGATCTTTTCGGTAATACCTTATTCCATGATTGTTCTTCTTCTGTTTTCTACATGTTTTCGTTTCGATTCGATTTTCGACTTCCCCCATCCACTCTCTTTCAACTTCTGCGAGCCGAGTGCAGTCAGAAAGCCGATTGACCCAACTAAAATACATAATAAATATAAGTAAGCAAAAAATAAGAAAACACCAACTCAAAATACAAATGTGAATTTACTTTGATTTTTGCGTTGTTTCTCAACTGAATGCATTAAAGAAAACTTACGAGTCTAAGTGAATCGCTTAACGCTACAGGTGATCGAGTATGCGTACGAATATATGAGTATATCTGTATGTGTATGTGAATGTGAATGTGAATGAGTGCGAGTATTTTAAGTCTAAGTAAGTGGAATGCATACAAATTGGATCTGAATTTTGATGAATTGTGCAAAAAAATAAAACAAATATCAAAGCGTGTCGATGTCGATGTCCATTTCGATGTGGATGTCGTTGTATATGCGCGTGTGTGTGTGCGTGTATCGTATTTAATGAGTGCAGGGTATCTGATTGGCATCCTTTAGATTGGCCAGACGCAGCTGCTCCAAGGCGATTTCATGGGCTTTGAAATGATCGCGCGTGGCCTGTTCCCATTCGCTGAGGCCCGTTGAGCTCTTCAAGGCACTTGTTGACGAGCCCGAGCTATAGGTAGAGCTGGCCGGGCTGGAATTTGAGATGTAGCTAGAGCTGGAACTGGAGATGGAACTGGAGCTGGCGCCGCTGCCTGCAGTCTTGATCGTGGCTGCTGGGGTGGCGCTGAAGGTCTGCAGGAATTGCTGCGCCTTTTGGGGCTGCGGGACATAGCGCACCAGGAAGGGATTATGCTCGGCCAGGATATAAGCTTCAGAGCTGGGCTTACTGGGTGCACTAATCTGACTGGGTACTCCAGACTGAATGCGCAAAAAGAAACCGTTCTGCACCTGTTGCTGCTGTGCTATTGTCTGTGGCTGAGCGGGCTGAGCGGGTTGAGCGGCCTGAGCTGCCTGGGGCTTGGCATACTGATAGCTGCCTTCAGCAGATGCTGCCTTCAGCTGCTGCTGCTCGGCCTGCTGGCGCTGCTCCTCCTCTAGGCGCTCAGCTTCCATGCGCTGCTTCTCCTGCTGTTCCAGGGCAATGCGCTCAGCTTCAAGCATGCGACGTTCCTCCATCAGACGTTTCTCCTCGCGCTGACGCTCCAGCTCCATGAGACGAATCTCCTCTTGACGCTCCTGCTCCAGCTGTGCGGCCTGCTCACGCTCATCGTAGCGGATGCTGTCCTCGGATTTCACCTTGACTTGGTTAAAGTTGTCGGGCTGCAGGTTCTGTGCTGGGGTCTGGGCGGACACGTATGCTCCAGAGCTGCTGGCATCGTAGGTCTTTACGCCGGATTGGGGTGCTGATGTGGGCAGAGGTGCATAGGATGGCTGCTGGGGCTGTGGCTGGGCATCTGGCTGAGCCTGGGGCTGGGGCTGAGCCTGTGCCTCCGTCGCTTGACGCAGTAGGGCTTCCTTGTATAGCTTGAAATGTTCCTCGCGAGCGCGCTGCACTTCAGGCGTATCCTCGATGGCCTGCTGTTGCTGCTGCTGCTCAGTTGGAATCGGAATAGTTTTCACAAGCTGTTCCTGCTGCTGAATAGGCTGTGGCTGCGACTCCAGCGACTCCTGTGTCTGCTTCTGCTGCTGCTGCTGCAGTGCCTCGTTATAGCGCCTCAGATGTTCCTCGCGTGCGCGCTTCACTTCCTCAGTTTCCTGCACGGGCTTGGGCGATTCCAGGGCAGCATTGGTCTGTGACGTGAAGGCATACTGCTTGACCAAGGGCTGTTCGTTCTTTGCAAAGGGCACCACTTGGGACTGCTGCTGCGGCTGGGCGGTAAAGATGCTCTGCTTGACGTAAGACTGCTGTGGCAGCGCTGCCTCAGCATTGATCACCTTCAGGCGCGCCTCGTTCCAAATGCGCATTTGCTCGTCGCGCACACGCTGCAGCTCGGGACTCAGGCCGGGCACCGCTTCAAAGGCATTCATCTTGATGATCTGCTCCAGTGGCTCATATTGCGAAAGGATGTTGGCCGTTGGCTGCTTGCCCTCGGCGCGCAAGCGCTCCAGCTCCAGGCGCAGGGCATTATAGCGCTGTTCACACCAGGCACGGAATAGGGCCAAATGCTGCTGCTGCTGCTGTTGTGGTTCCACTTTAGCCGAGGTGCGCACAAAATTATTGTCGGGCTGGGCCACGGTGCGTATGCCGTACAGAGGCTCCGGATAGTTGAAGGCAATCAGACGCTCGGCTCCATTGCTGTCCAGATAGCGCGTATAGCCTTGCACAATTTCGCTCTGCACAGGGAATTCGCCGCGTGCCGGCGCATAGGCCAGCAGATTGGTGCGATAGCCAATGGAGTGCGCATGCGCACCCAATGCCAGCAGGCTGAGCAGCAGCAGACGCATCTTGGTGGATCCTCGTTGGGAATGGAATGGGTCTAGGACTAGTAGGACTTTTGGGTTTTTTTTACTTGAGCAACGACAACAAAAAAACACAAAACTTCACTACAACTTCGACGACTTTAGCTGGGAGACTGTTGGCTTTCGGTGCCGCAACCGTTGCCTTTTATAGTCTAAAGGCTAAGAACCGCAAGGGCGCAAGTTCGCTGCCTTGTCCTTGGGCTAACCCGTTTGGTTGGCATGAGGATATGCCAATAAATATTTTGTTACCCCAGGTCCAGTGAATCGGCACGCAGATATCGCATCTCCGGTCTAAGGTATCTGATCTCGCTTCTCAGTTTGTCAGCCAGTCGGTTTGTCTGTCTCGCTGTCTGTTCTCGAACAGTTAATTGAGGCGAGTCTTGGCTGTCAGTCCTGTTGGTTCTTCTTCCGTTATGCTGGCCCGTTCCATTCACCAGCCGCTGCCCCAAGGTCAGCTGATGTGTATTTTTAGTAGCAAGGCCTGCCTGTGTTGCATGTTATGGCCCAATGCATAAATTAAGCCCAGCAAAGGGCAGCTGCAGCTGCAAACACTGAGCTACAGTTGCATGCTCAATCCCCCAGTTCGATTTATCAAATAGCCAGAGCATAGCTCGGGCCTTGTAGACGACTTTCGGCCATTATTATTAAGAGCGTCTGTCATTTGTCAAGATATCAATTGATGAAGAGAGCTGGCCAGTTGAGGCCCAAATATGGCGTGCACTTATTTATAGACGCAACTGTTGTACAGTCGCCGGCCAGACGCGCCTGCAAGACGACCCGTTCCCCATCTAAGGGGGCACATTGACAGGGCTTAACCGGTTCAGAGCATCTCGGTTGCGGCATTTTATATTAAATACGAATCGGCGCCGTTATATGGGCAATTCACAGACTTATATACATACATTGAGTACATAAAACAGTGCTATATATATGTGTATATACATACAATATGCAAGGAAAGTCGCCAAGGGTGCCATAAAATAAATTATGCAAATTAAATTATTCGCCGGCCTCAGGAATGTGAAAATCAATTGGAAATTTTTGTGGCTCTTAATTGATATAAAATTTTAATTATTTTTTTCATTCGGCTGTCGTTGACAGCTGCTGTGAACTGCAATACTGATGTGCAATAATTATTATATTTAATTTTGTATTAACATTTAAGGAGGCTCGCTTTGTTATTGTCGGAAATATCATAAATATATACAATATATAATATAAATATTTAATTAGAGTGGAGATAGAGATAGATGAACATGTGTTAGGTGCGAATTTAAGCACCTGCGTGTGTCTATATACATATATGTATATGTAGAAAATAAGCGGCGGAATATAGTTCCATAAAATTAGTTTCACAGAAAAATAAACTAACACGCACAATTAAAGAAAAAAGCGTTAAAAAAAATGTTTAAATAAAAATTTATATTAAATTGTTACTCAAATCTCAAAATAAATAAGTTTACGTAAAAATGATACTAATTATTATTGACATTTAATAAATATTTGCACAATTAATTCTAAGCTCAAATGGACGTAAAACATTGTTATCAATTTCTGTGAAAACGTTTAAATGAAACGTGATTTGTTTTAATAAATGAGAGAAAGAAATGAGACAAACAACAAACAAAATTTTCCAATATTTGTTTATTTTGAAATTAGATCTCAAAAATTGTATCCCACTTATTATTTGTTTGAATATTTTCTAGAAACATTTTCTTCCCAGACATTGCAAATTAAATTAGTTAATCAACGACCAATAAAACTTTATTAAACAATAATAATTACAAAAATAAATAAAACAAAATAATTAAATATTAAACAAATCAAATTAAAAACCAAAACAAAATATAAAAGCAATTAATCATCGAATAAGAAATTAATAATTAAATGATGGAAAATAACGCAGAAATAAAAAAATTTATATACACTTAAGCAATGCAATAAAAATAATATAGAATAAAATAAGTAAATTAAATAATTAAAGTAATACAACATGTAAAATATTAATATTTATCAATTAGTAAATTAGCAAAAAATATTTTATTATTAATATAAAATATAAAAAAAAATAAAAAAATAAAAAAAAGAAGAAATAGAAAAAAAATATATTTAAATTTATAGAATACACAAATTCCACAAAAGCGTGTAGCTAAATAAAAACAAAATAAAATACTAATATTAATTCACTTCATCATCCAGCAGCAAATCCAATTCTCTGCAGCTGCAGAGGTCAAAGAGGACAAACGGAATTTATGGAGCCGACTGAGAGCATAAGAAATATGAATAAAATATACTATATAGGCCACATCAAACTCTGCAAGCCACACCTAGCCTGGCATCTAGAGCAGTTGATGAAACACCACATGGAGCCAACCCGGGCTCACCTGCGCATCACATGGCATTCATCACATTCTTGGCACACATGGCTTTAATCACGTATTGTCAATCTTAGCACTTGGCAGTGAAACAGATCACAAGGCAGGCGAATTGTGATACCTCCATAGTAGCTCTGACTCTTTATGAATATGGGCAATTATTTAAGATTTTCACGGAAGTTGGTTTATTCATTTGTTTGGCAACTTTCACACAGAAGGCCGATTTCGTAAGACATTTGGCAAGAGCTTGTTGCCAAGTATAAAGATTTTATTTATAGCTATAGATTTCATATGAACTGACCACAGTCACGCTGCGACAGCGGCAGCGGCAGCGGCAGCGATATTGGCGTCTACGTCGACTGCGACGTCACATGCTCGCCAGAGAATTTCTGGACCTGGAACAGACTTTCATCAATTTAATATTTTCGTCTGTTTTTATGGCTTTTTGGCTACTTGCGTCACTCTCGCAATTTATTTTAATTATTTTGTTGTCCACGCGCTTCAAACGAACTTAAATGGATGCGAAATGGAAACGGAGGCACGTCCCATTTAATTAGAACAACGGTTACTCTACTTCATGCACGTTGCGCCTTATCTTATCAAACAAAAATATATACCATTCGATTAGCCAGGCTAATTCTCAATGTGTGTGCGCTGTACGACGTGTGCTACCGGCTACCGGTGTTAATTACCATTTAATTAGCATTCATTAAGATGTCTGCTCCGCACATACAAGCATACATACATACATAAATCAAAATGAAACCACGCCATAACTTTGCAGCTTTTTAAGATGTTTTTCCTGTTGCTGTCACCGAACCTTGACAGCAATAACAAATCCTTAAAGCACAGCCAGCGATTTATGGAAATTTTATTTTGTTTTTGCTTTCAGCCGAATTTCATGACAAGGCAAAAGCTAATGGCCAATAAACGCACTTGAACCATGCCGCAAAAAAAAAAAAAAATCATCAAAAGCGAGCCACGCTCTGCGGCTCACGTGCGACGCGGCTTAAGCCTTTAGTTATTTGGTATTAGCGATTACGCATAAATTTATGCATATTTAGTATGGATATACATATGTATGTGTGTGTGTGTGAAACAAAAAAAACCCATACTCAAATGAGTCGAGAGTCAGACCCAGTTCCAAGCTCCAAGTTCCAGTTAGCAGCCAGACGTCATAGTGCGGAACTTTCGGCACTGCAGCTGCGTGCAAATTAATTGAAAAATTTCATGCCCCCTCTGACCCCCGAATCAGTCAACGCTGTTTGAGCTCAATGAAAGCAAACAAATGTGTGTACTTGAGCGCTAAATACCCTGCAATTAGTTGAGTAAATATATATTATATAAATATGTATACTATGCATAGCTGTTAAAGCTTTCTATATTTCATTATCAATGCTTATTAAATCAAGCGCTTACATCTATATATTGCTAATGCTTAATGTGTAAACCTGGTATACCCTATTTTAAATTAAAAATTAAATGGTAGTTTAAATATTCTCATTTCATCCACTCCAAACCCCTTCAAAATTAAGCAGGGTATCAGCCACTGGCCTCAATGAATTTTTGTGAATGGTAAAAAAAAAAGAGTCAGCAAAAATGTTTGTGGTTTTTTTTCTAAATTAATTTGTTGGCCAAAAAACCCAGCAATTTATTTTTTTCCCTAAGCTCCTTAGTTAGGATTTTACTTTAACTAAATGTTGCTAAATAATGAAGCGGCAACAAATTTTGTTAGCCACATTTTGTGTTTTGATCATAATTGTGGCATTTTGTTTCATATGCTGCGGAATGTTGGGCAATTGGACATTTTGGGGCTTTGGTTTTTGCATTGCTTTAATTTTAAAAATAAAATTGTTGGTTATTTTAAAAACAAAGCTTCAGCGCCAAGGCCATTTATTTTCATGTACAAAATATTCTTTTTATATACGTTCGATAAAAATGCTTTGTTAGTGCTGAGCCGCCGCCATGGTAGCATTTACGTCATTTGCCGAAATCCGTTGAAATTTGACAAGAAAACGAGTTTCATACTGACCCATGGGGAAGTTCCCCCGCCACCAGACAAACAACATTGAAGCGTGCTCCAATTGCGCGCACTTCGTCCGGCTCCACTTGGCCATTGGCCACTGGCCACTGGCTCTTGGCCAGACGCCTTGCTCTACGCAGTTCCGTTTCATGCTCGGCCGTACAAGCAATTACTAAATAAATACATCAATTAGAGCGCCAACGCACAGTGACCTACACGACGCAACGTCGAGCGCTGAGCAGTTCTCAAGTGCAGCTTATAACTGCACTGAGAGAAAAATGTGTTTCTCTGTGTGTGTTATTTGTGTTGATGTTGATGATGATGATGATGATAATGATAATGATTGTTATTATGAATAGTCACAATGATAATACAAATAATTTTTATTTTTATTAATTTATTTTTTCTTAATTTTTATAAAAGTAATAATATTTGATAATGACATAATATATTAATAACAATTATTATTAAAAAATATCATAAATAAAAAATGGAAAATTTAAATTGTAATAATAATGACAACCAAAATGCCAATATTTTAATTCATAAATATATTTATTATATTGTTAATAACAATAACAATAATAATAAATCATAAATAATCCAAATAATTAAAAAAAAAAAAAACAATTACCTGATATTAAAATTTAAATTTTATCTCATTAAATAAACTTAAACTTTTTTACAAAGTC